AAAAAAAAAAAAAAAAAAAAAAAAAAGTAGCAATACCCGGAGAGAGATCCCACTACCCATGAATGTGGATTAGTGTTTAAGGTGTGTGACTGTCAGGCATCGTGGATTTGGCAGGAAATCAGCGGTAGCCTGGTTTTGTGAATTAAGCCCCGGAAAAGGATGTTTTCTTTTGCTCTCCCATTGGTAGGTTTTTCTTTGTTTTTGTTGTTGGGGTCCTGTGGCTGTCCCAAACGTGCGTGAAATCACAACCGAGTTTTTGGGTTCGTGAAATCACACACGTTTCACTCACAGCGAAGGCAAAGACGAATGGCTTTACCGCTGGAAATTGATTGTCGTTTGGGAGGTGTTTGGGAGGGTTCGATCCCCTCACCTACAGCAACTGGTGTATGGAGATACTCTTGCCCTCCTTTGCCAAAGAGAATTTCTAACAACCGAACAGAGTGCACTGCAGCCTATTTCAAGGAAGCCTCAGACAATTGTCAATGAATATGGTCCGTGTGCCCAGTCACATGCAGTCGTCTTGACTGCCACAGCCATGGTCAGTGAATCATACCCTGACATCTGACACCCGGCCTGGAGCAGACACCGTCTGTGAGAAGAGCACTTTCTTTTCTTTTTTAGCAGTTTTTTCTTCATTTGTTTGGTCATGAAATGTTTTTTTTTTTGCGTTTATTTTCCCTATTTCACGCTGCCACCCACCTGTCTCCGACCCGTCCCACACCCGTCACACTAATCCACATACATGGCTAGTGGGATCTCGCTCCCGGAAAACTCCATAAATCTCAGACTGATTCATTCAGAGGGGGTCATTGCAGACCTTGGGGAGGCAGCAAGAGTAGGGCAGGGGCGCAGCGCTACCGGGAGCGCTGCTCCCCCGCTATCCTGTCTTGTTGGGTTCACGCTCTTGCCAACGCTTGCGGAAAGGAACCGGGGCAGTATGTGTGTGCGCGGGGAAACGCGCGAGGTGGACGCTGGTTGTTGCTGGGCCGACGAGCGAGTGACCTCTGTCGCTGCCTTTGCTGACGTGGGTGAGGTAGCTAAGTTTTGGAAGCCATCTCCGGGTAGTGTGTACGTCCCATCAAATGAGCCATAGCGGGCTTATGGTGCTGAGGGGGGCTCGTGGAAAAACGGGTATCAGTGGGCGATGGGGGCTTTATGCTCTATCGCATATGGCTGGACTTGCATGCTAGCGGGAGATCAAATGTGGAGGAGGCAAGGGTGTGTTCAGATTCGACATTTCAGATTCGACATTATCAACGCTTATCTTCTTTGTGTAATGTAGGAGGAGGACGACGTTTTCCTTTGTCATCATGGACAGAGGTATCATCATCGAGTGAGGATAGCGGGAATCAGTGGCCGGCTGGAAATCAGCGGGCGAAGTGAGTGATGCTACACAGGGGAATGTATCATCATCAGTGGTATCATCATCAAGTGAGGGAATCAGCGGCCGGAGGGAAATCAGAGGGCGAGCCGCTGGAAATCAGCGGGCGACGTGAGAGAAGCTAAAGAGGCGATTGTATCATCATCAGTGGTTTCATCATTGGGTGAGGATGGGGGGAATCAGCGGCCGGCTGGAAATCAGTGGGCGACGTGAGTGATCAGCATCATCAGCATTGTTTTTTTTTGTCATCATCATCATCATGAAGAGATTTCTACTCTCTTGCGGCCGGCTGGAAATCAGCGGGCGATGAGAGTGAGTCTCAACAGGCGAATGTATCATCATCAGCATCATCATCATTGGCATTTCGTCATCATTATCATCATCATCATCATTGGCATTTTTTGTTACCATCTTCATTTTTGTCATCATCATCTGCGTTGTTATCTACAGCTTTTTTCCGTTTTTTAGGTAAGATTTTTCAGATCATCTATTTATCCAATCCGTTCTTTCATAGTATCATCTCAATACGATGACTATTTTCGCTAATTAGTACGGACCTAACTAACTATCTTTAAACTAATATCCAAATTAAAAGTCTCAACATATTCTTCATCTTTCTTTTCCTTATCAACTGAAATTGCTGGTCTAAATTAACACACAAGGTATTTTGTATACCAAAAATTCCAGGCGTAAATTCAGGAAAATTTTATTCCACGTGGAATTTATTTCACGGTCTATACAATTTTTTTTTATTTTTTTATTTTTTACTTACTTCTTTTAGTTGGAATTTCTGAGTTTTTCAAGGTCTACTCCTCGCTGCATTTACTCCCATAAACTGACTATTTTCAATCCTACTTCAATTCCACTTTAGAAATTTCGTCTTCGAAAATTCTTCGAAAATTCAATTTCCTTCGCGTATGTTGTTCGCAGTGTTAGTTGGATTTCTGGTACGGAAATTCTCCTCTCTATAGTATTTATGTTAATTTGCTGATGGAAAGGAGGTAGGGACTAGGGGAGAGCTCCATTCCGCAGGGGTGACACAAGGTGGGAAGTGAAGCCCTGTAGGGGGTGGGAGCAGAGTTAGTGGGTTACCTTAGTCTGGGGTTGGTGGGAGGGTTACTCACACCAGAGGGGGAAGATCAGGGTAAAGGGTGGGAGGAGGCATACTTTGGGAGGGAACTGTATGCCTTTCTGGGATTAGAACGGGGAAGGGGGCACTGTCACAAGTTGGGGCTGTGATGGGTGGCCTGTTGATGAGACAGGGAGGAAAGGGGGGAGGGGGGAGACTGACATCATCTTCTGGTGATCTGAAATTCTTGGCGTCTGTTGGCATTCTCTCTTAGCTTGGGATAAAAACTTGTCAGAAATGATCGATTCTGGACCGATATCGGCAGAGGTGTCTTGTTCTGTGCTCCCGGTTAGCCGATGCCAGAACGACGCTGGCTGGTGCTGGGGCAATGCCCTGTAACTTGCATTGGCGGGAGCGCGAGGCCTTGTAGAGAGATCTGGGGATTGCTGAGGGAGGAAAGCAATTCAGTGGCTAACTGGGGGGGCTGCCTAGACAACCCAATGGGGCTAGGGATAGTCTAGGTGGCGAGAATAGGTCAGCTATGGTGGATAATGGTTAGGAGGGTATTGTCTCTGAGAAGTTTTGTCTTGGTATAAGGAGGGGTAGGAGGCGTGCTAGGTTAAGGAGGCCAGAAGTGCTGACATAGCATACTCTTCTATATGTTTTCATAAATTTCGTACTCATCATCAGATCAATCATCATCGTAATCATCAATATCGACATCATCATCATCATCAATAGTATCTTCTGGTTTGCTGGACTCTGGTAGTATCTTGCCTTTGTCCTTATCTGGGGCATTGGCGCTCAGAGATGGTAGAAATCGGACTGATGTCAACAGAGCTGCTCTGTTCTGTGCCCCTGGTTTGCCGATGCCAGCACGACGCTGGCCGGAGCTGGGGTGTTGCCCTGTAACCTGCAAATAGCAGGAGTGTGAGGCCTTGTAGAGAGATCTGGTGTTGCCGAGGGAGGAAGGCAATTCAGTGGCGAATTGGGGGGGGCTGCGAGGCGGCGAGAAGAGTGTGATGTTAGTTAGGATGATATTGTTTCTGGGTGACTTTGTTCTAGTGTAAGGAAGGCTAGGTGTTGCTCTAGGTTTTGGAGGCCAGAATAGGGGGTATTGCATAATTCRTATTCATCATCRGCAGTAGAGTCAGTACCATTTTCATTAATCAGAATCATTGTGTCTGGTACGGTGTCTCCGGGCAGACTGTGAGGACCCCGGCCTCAATATTATCATTTGAAATATCAGCCTTGGGCACTGGGTCCTTCAATTAAAAAAAAAAAAAAACAAAGAAGAAGAAGAAGAAGAAGAGGGGGTCATTGCAACATGAATGAACAGTGGGACTGCATTTGTTATTGCCAAAACCAATTTCCGGACCAGTATCCCACTGACCTTTTTTTTGTTTTGTTTTTTGTTTGTTTGTTTGAAGTAGCCCACTGACCTCGCAGAAACCGAATTCGTAGAGATGGCCCCTGATGTCTCCCTCACTGATCAAGCAAAATGGAATGCACGCATCCTCTTCATTTTGGGAGCGCAGCATGCAGGAGAACTTGTACCGTGCTGCCGGATGCAAGTCCGCTCTTACAGAGAAAGCTGTCATGCCTCAACACCAGAACCTCACACCCGAAACACGCACCCGAACCACACATCCGAATCACAAATCCCGAGTTTGTATAGAAGGGGGGGTGACGCTATTGCTTCAGTAGGATGCTCCACACACTACCATCTTCGCCCAACCGAATAGAAAAAAGAAAAAAAAAAGAAAGAGCTGTCATACTTGCTGCATCCGGCCTGCGAGTCACTCCAAATACAGCAATAATGACCGGGCATTCTATTCAGGTGAAGACGGTAGTAAAATGCCACGTGGTCCAGCTTTTTAAAACCCTTTTCGAGAAATTTGCCATATGCTTCCTGAAACCTGCTGCAAGAACAACTTCGCCAAGCCGACTTCTTTTTCTTCAACTCCAAGTTTTTCAATAAATGGGACGCTGCCCACAAATAGATCGGACTTTCCGATGACAACAACAAAAAAAGCCCTTTTTTCAAATTTCAATACATCTGTCTTCCAAATTCACGTTAAGAATTGCATTTCACTGCGCTTTTCAGACAATCTCACTTCACCCCTTGATGTGTTCACATGAGTGTGTGTGTGTTGTGTGTTGTGTGTGTGTGTGTGTGTGTGTGTGTGTGTGTGTGTGTGTGTGTGTGTGTGTGTGTGTGTGT